TCCTTCTGTTCGCTCGGAGACCAATGTATAGATTCTTCGTCCCCCCCCACTTATGGTGTATTATGGTTCATTTGAGACTAGCACTACAGACCCCCCAGTAGTATCGAATGGTTGAGTTTACTTTTATATCCGGGAAGTGGAGTCGCCGCAAGGAGAGTTCCCGAGGCAGATGCATCGCATTCTGGAAGCACCCCGACGCCAGTCTCGCCTTGAATGGATTTTAATGTTGAGGTCATTGACGGCATTGGCGAGATTTTTTTTTACCTAAGCTTACTGGTGTTCCATTTGGCCAGATACGTTCCACACCTTATCTATTCGGAAAGAGGTCATACTCACCTCCAACCCTTCCGTGACGGTGCATAAGTTCTTATGGAAAGCTTTTCCCCCCCCCCCCCCCCCCCCCCCTTTCCTTTTTCACGCTTATGAGAGCAAGCCCAGTAGGAGGGAGGAATATGCATTAACGAAGTGGACATTTATGGGGGGGTGGTACCTGTCACAGATGCTACAGCGCAAAAGACATTAACGTGGTGCCCCTAACTTTTAATTAAGTCTATGGGAAACAGCACTTGTAGGGCTTCAAATTCTCGGTGACTTGCGTCGCTCAACTTCGAATATATGTGGTTTTATTTATTATTATTATTATTATTTATTTTATTTTATTTTATTTTTCGGTAGTTGCTTGCAAGGTTATACATAGATTGATGGATACAACCGGGGAAAAGATGGAAATACGAATAAACCACAGGTATGTTGTGAACAAGCTCTTCCTCCTCCTTGCTCCTTCGTTTGCGTTTGAGTGAAACTTTTCTAGACGGTGTTACCATGTATGATTTTGGGATATTTAAGAGATGCATTTATGAATCGAAACAGTCTTGTGAGTACGGGCTACCATTTTTTTTTTCTCTTCTCCCCTTTTCCCAGCAATCTTCCGTACCGGAGTCTTTAGTTTGTATCCCACCCTTCCTGATCTATGTATGTTTTGAGAACTGTACACGTTGGCCCTTGTGCGCCATAGTATTATTCAGTGTAACCTGTAACTAGCGTCCAACTATGTTTTAGAATGTTGCCTGTATGTATATAAACCACCTACCTCACGGAAACAATGGGTTTAACTTTTCAGCGAACAAAATAAATATAAAAAAAAATAAAGTTAATTAATACATGACTTCTAGCCACCGTCTATATCTGCATTTTACATACAGAGTGCATTTTCTAGTGATAGAGTAGCAGTAAGCCCTGGAGTCCCGTATTAGCTATAAATCCATCAATGTATACATGTACAAGCAGAATGAGGGGGACAAAGGGAATCGTAAACAAAAATCATGGAGGCAAAAAAAAAAAAAAAAAAAAAATCAATATCAATATCAATATCAATATATAGGAAAACACCCATATCTAACGCAAATTTTACATCCTGAAAACTCCAAACTTCGTCTTGGCCTCCTCCGCCCGGCCTCCTAACGCAGCCGCAAGACTCAAACCCAGCACCTTTCTCGTATGTGCTGGCGGAATCACGCCATCATCCCATAACCGTGCGGAAGAAAATATCGACTCCGACTCCGTATCAATGCGCTCCTTCAGCTTCGGATCGGCCGTGCGGCCCACGGCCTCCATGACCGAGGAGAGCTGTTCCGAACCCATCACGCCGATCTTGGCGTTGGGCCACATGAAGAGGAAACGGGGAGAGTAGGCGCGGCCGCTGGTTGCGGTTTGCTTTTGTTAGCTTGTAGGATCTCATTTGGGATTTGCGTTGGGGGGTTTGATAAAACGAGAGGGGATGAAATATAAAGCAAAGCAATAAAAAAAAAGGTTGGTGGGGAAGGGGGGGAGAGAACATACCACATCCCATAATTACCCGCGCCAGCGCTGGAGCCAAACACAACAGTAAATTTAGGAACATCAGCACATGCCACGGCCGTGACGAGCTTAGCTCCATTCTTCGCAATACCGCCCTTTTCCGCATCCGCGCCTACCATGAAACCAGAGATGTTCTGTAAGAATATCAGAGGGATATTGCGCTGAGCGCAGAGTTCAATGAAATGAGCACCCTTAAGTGACGACTCGGAGAACAGGATGCCATTATTCGCAACGATGCCGACCTGCGTGCCGTAGATGCGCGCAAAGCCCGTGACGAGCGTGGTGCCGTAGTCGCGTTTAAATTCGGCAAATTCGCTGCCGTCGACGATGCGGGCAATGACCTCATGGGCCGGGATTTGGCGGCGAAGATTGGTGCCGACGATGCCGGAGAGCTCTGCTGGGTCGTAAAGGGGTTCTTTTATTGTCGAGGGAGCGTTTGATTGTGATGCTGGGTTCGATGGAAGGGCGATTTTCGGCCAGTTGAGATTGGAGATTGACCTGCGGGCAAGGACGAGGGCGTGGGCGTCATCAACGGCGAGGTAATCGGTGACGCCAGAGATGGAACTGTGTAAGCGGCCTCCGCCAAGATCTTCTGCAGATACAACTTCTCCAGTTGCGGCTTTAACCAATGGTGGGCCAGCAAGGAAGATGGTCCCCTGGTTCTCAACAATTATGGACTCATCGCTCATGGCGGGAACATACGCTCCGCCTGCCGTGCATGGTCCCATGACTACCGAAATCTGCGGGATACCCATGGAGCTCATTCTGGCCTGGTTGAAGAAGATCCGTCCGAAATGGTCTCTGTCTGGAAACACGTCTGCTTGATGGGGAAGGTTGGCTCCGCCGGAGTCAACCAGGTAGATACAAGGTAGCTTGTTCTCCTGGGCAATTGCCTGTGCGCGCAAGTGCTTCTTGACCGTGATCGGGTAGTAGGTGCCGCCCTTGACAGTGCTATCGTTTGCTACAATCATACAGGAGACTCCCTCGACCGTTCCAATCCCGGTGATAATACCGCCGGAAGGCACATCTTCGCCAGGGTAAACCTGGTGGCCCGCAAGTGGAGAGAGCTCGAGGAATGAGGTCCCCGGGTCAATCAAGGATGTGACGCGGTCCCGGGGAAGCAGCTTTCCACGAGCGATATGCTTTTCCTTTGCTTTTGGAGGCCCTCCCTTGGCAATTGTGGAATGGAGGTCAGCCATTTTGGCCAAAAGCTCATCCATTTGAGCTGCATTTTCCTTGAAGTTGGCCGAAGAGGTGTCCACAGATGTTGGCAGGACGGATATAGCTGATGCCTGATGTGTGTGCGTGTAATTGGCAATTGATCTTGTAGTCTGACGGGAAGCGATTGCACCACGAGGCCCTGCTACTCGCAATTGGCGGCTGGATGCCAACGCCGTGCGAAGGCTGCGGAGAAGCATTGAGGAGGGAGCACGGATTGACGCAGCCATGACAAGGGGTCAAGTATCAGCAGCGACGGATCGATGATTGAATAAATCTCTACACTGCCATATCATGGCCAACCCGGCAGGAGTTAAAATCAACACGATATGAGAAAAACTTCGCACCTGAGTTCAGTGCTTCGGAAGCTCGTGTCCCGTGACCCGGTGTTGGAGATAGCCGACGGCAACCGCGTCCTTCTGTTTCGGCAGACTAGAAGGTCAATTCTGCCCTGAGCTGGGACACAGCGGCAACCTCTCTTGTCTTTCTTGCTCCTCTCTCAAAAATACTCATCCTTGTGTTAGTTTCGCACGATAATCTTTTGATATGGCGTCTCCATGTCTTCCTCGCATCCTTGGTCGCGCTTCCAGAACTCTTTGCCGGCCACGGAGACAACTGGGCCAGCTTCCCCAATGGCGGGCAGCGTCAACAAAACATCCACAAGGTTTCGTGCCACCGACACATGATGACCTGGTGGAATTGAGAGAGCGGGTTCAAGAATTTACAAGTACGAATATCTTGTGACGTCGAAATTTTAGGCCATTGGGATAGAGGACTAATTCAAGTGCGCTACACAGGAAGAGAGATTCCAGAAGAGGTCGCTGCCCGGACAGATCTCCAGAATAACTTCCCCGCCGAGATGTGGCAGAAGCTTGGAGAAGCTGGGTAAGTGGTTAACATTGGAATAATTAAGTAGGTGTACGCTTTTACTGACATTCCCTTTCTTCTGAACCAAAGGTTTCTAGGTGTCACCGCAGACGAGCAGTATGGTGGCTTGTCAATGGGCTACCAAGCACACTGTGTAGTTTTAGAGGAAATCAGTAGAGCTTCAGGTGCGTATACGTTTCCCGCGACTGAGAATCGTATATATCATGGAATATATACTGACGCTCCGGTTACACTCGATAATAGGCAGCATTGGTCTCTCTTATGCCGCCCACTCCCAACTTTGTGTTAACCAGCTTTCTCTGAACGGCAGCCCGGAACAGAAAGCCAAATTTCTTCCAAGCCTGATCTCAGGACAGAAGATTGGCGCGCTGGCAATGTCAGAGCACTCTGCAGGTTCGGATGTTGTCAGTATGAAGACTACTGCTAAAGCTGTGGATGGAGGGTATCTGCTTAATGGAACAAAAATGTGGATTACCAACGTTAGTACAATATTACTCCCCCTTGTATGTTGCCATCAGTAACGGTGAATAAAAAAATCTGAATTTCTCCTTTTGGTCTCGCACTTTTAGGGCCCCGATGCCGATTATATCGTCGTGTACGCAAAGACGAAGCCCGACCAGGGCTCCAAAGGCATCACTGCCTTCGTTGTTGAGAAAACATTCAAAGGATTTTCCTGCGCTCGGAAACTGGATAAGCTCGGCATGAGAGGTTCAAATACTGGCGAATTGATATTTGAAGATGTATTCGTGCCACAGGAGAATATGTTGGGAGCGCTCAATCGCGGTGTGAAGGTGCTCATGGAAGGGCTTGACCTGGAGCGTCTTGTCCTCAGTGCAGGACCACTAGGGTAAGGGATTTCACCTCATCCAATTTCTACATAAGGTTGAGCCAGCGGGAAGCTGTACTAAAAGCCGAAACACCACGAATAATGTACGCAGCATTTGCTAACTGAATAACCCCGCGCGCTCACGCTCTTTTGTTTTATCTAGGATAATGCAAGCAGCCCTTGACCTCGTGCTACCTTACACCCATACCCGCAAACAATTCGGCACCCCAATCGCTCACAACCAACTCATCCAAGGTAAGCTCGCAGACATGTACACTAAGCTCTCCGCATCCCGCGCGTACACCTACGCCACGGCCCGCCAAATTGATGAAGCCGCTGCGTCCTCCTCGAGCGAGGCAAGCAACAGCGCCATTCGCACTCAGGACTGCGCTGGTGCGATCCTATATGCTGCGGAGCGTGCAACGGAGTGTGCGCTTGATGCCATTCAGCTCATGGGTGGCAACGGATATATCAATGAGATTCCAGCAGGACGGCTTCTGCGGGACGCTAAGTTGTATGAGATTGGGGCGGGGACCAGTGAAATTCGAAGGATGTTGATTGGGAGAGTGTTCAACAAAGAATATTCGTAGATTTTAAATCTAGATGCAGGGGGACTAATTTCATTCATTAATTTTATTTTATGGTTTTTTTTTTTTTTTTTTTTTTTTTTTGCCATATAAATACACATACCGTGGGGCAACTTTCTTTATTAAATTTTTTCTTTTTTTTTCCCCCCCGTCTTGGATACAGTACTAAAATATGTAGTTGATGATTTTCTAGCCTTAACCTTGAGTTTAACTAGATCTAACAATAAATTTAAGATCCAGCAACTAAAAATGGATTATAACCCCTCTAAATACTATTAAATTAACAGATTATTCCGCCTACGCAGTAAGCTAGTTATCTCGTGCCCTTTATGGAAACTCTGATGTCACGAAACCTCAACCAGAACTTTTCCCGGCTCCGTACGACGTATGCTAGCAACTACTGTACCTGCTGCCGCTTTCTTCTGTAACCTCTTTCACAATTGCTTGTCGATATAGAAGTGATTAGTATGTCCCCTTCAATAATTTCCTTCAACTGTTTCCTGCAAGATACCCGACCTCTCTAGATATGTGCTTGTACAGTACATGCATCGCCAAGTTCTGAGCTTAGCTATTCTTGCATCTCTCCACCATCCCCGCTCCTCCCCGACCACTCACACAGGACACCATATATACATACACTGCGAATACTTAGACAAGAAGCAAAGAACAGTAGGAAAGGGAAAAAACTGCGTCCCATTACACCTACTATGTCTGATGACGAGGAGTACTACGATGATGACTTCGATGCTGAATGGTTCTGGTTCGATGAAGGGGACAGAGAGCTTGCGGTCAGTCTCAATTTTCCCACCCATCCCAAAGCCCTCTTCAATCCTTCCTCTCTCAAAAACTATTTGTGTCTTCGTTTATCGAACTAAAGAAAATATCCGGTCGATTCCCTCACTCCTTTGCTCGCGGAGAAGAGGGAATTGTGTGCCATTCTACTTTATTTAGGACGATCTAGCAGCAGGCACAATCCATTCGCCTGTTTACATGGACCAGGGAGCTTATGATGCACTTGACAGCGCATCCGACTGGGACTATTGCACGGACGAGTACTTCGATGACGACCTGTCCATTCTGCACAAGCATGACATTAAACCACAGACACCCTCCAAAGGCCCATCGGTGAGAAAGAAAAATGTGATGATGAAGGGGAATACAATGAAGCAAGGCGAACAACAGCGCGACGACAGTGATAACAAAAAAGATACCAATACCAATTCCTTCTGCCGCATACTTTGGCGGCCCTCAAGCTTCCTGGATGATCAGGGTGAGCTATATGAGCCGGGCAATGGGGAGAAAGTAGCGTTGCTGAAGAATTGGCGGGAGATATTTAAGGATTCACAACCGAAAAGGGACCATAAGCTTCAGAAATATTCTTCTCCTTCTCCTTCTCCTTCCCCTTCTCCTTCATCTTCTTCCCTTTCGCATCTCCCACCACCGTCGTCGTTCTTGAAGTCCGTGACTGGCCGGAAACATCCAGGACGCCCAAGGAAGACAGGAAAGCGGAACGTGGTTGTCGAAAGTGTTGATACGCCTGTATTTGATAACGAGGGGTTTAGTGAGGAAGGGAGAGAGGGAGGTATAGCTGATGGTGACGATGATGGCGAAGACGATGGAGGATATTGTACCCCACCTCCAACCTTTCTATCCGCATCCCAGCAAGGCATTTATGGAAAATCGCAGAAGACAACCACTGGACCATCTCACAGACAAAAGAACAATGGCATGGATCACAATCAGCGCGATGGATCACATCTCAAATCCGTCATCTCAGCCTCAGCACAGGAGGATGACTTAGAATCCATCCCAATCATGGCATCCTCGCCGTCATCGTCAACGGAAAACTCCAAGCAACGCTCCGGTCGTCTTTCCACCTCTTCCACAACAGCAACGTCAATGTCAACACAATCCGCAACGTGGACCTCGCAAAATGGGAAGTGTTCGGGGGAACCCGGTGCTCTGTTCCAAGATGGCTGTAGCAAAGCTAGCGGTTCTCATATTATATCCCCAACCGGAACGGGCAGCTCACCCCCGACTCAGCGTCGTCAAGGGTTGAAACGAAAAGCGTCTAACCCCCCAGAGAGCACCGATGGAGATTACGGTGTGAAGACGAGATCGAAACGAGTCACGAGACAGAAGATGGACAGTGACGCTGGCGATGATAACATTGACGCTCGCGGCAAGAGAAAGACAATAAATAACCGGGAACCACCTCCTAGCAAGTCCAGGTCTTTGCGGCAGAGGAAGAAGTAGTTGTAGAGGTTTTGAAGCAAGGTGATAGGTAATTTTTATCTCCTTTTTCATTTTCATTTTTGACCTCTATGCCGAATATTAGTGAATAGTTTGATCAATGCCCTATCTTGGCCCCACTTCACGATTTTAGCCCGTTTGGGCAATTGACCATTTGTTTAATTGTCGTTTAGTCAAAGAAAGAACACCATCTTCAACTAGCAATTAAGAACAAAGAATCCTATACTCCATTGTTTAAACGTCATAGCTTTGTGGG